GTTATATACACACACACACACACACACAAGGGGGGCTTCCAACAGTTCATGGAAAATGGAATTAATAAATAATGGCATTTTCCCACACACCATTTTTAAGCCCCCTCATATGCCTGTCTCATTAACAAATATATTAAAGGCTTACCATATATACTCGAGTATAAGCCTACCTGAATATCAGCCGAGGTACCTAATTTTACCACAAAAACTGCATTAAAAAATGTGCTGAAAAACTTGGCTATTACGAGTATATATGGTATATTTTCTTTAGCATTCTTTAATTATGTCTTTATCTAACTCACAGATGCAAGAACCTATCTCTTCCCTGCTATATTCATGTAAGTTTATATGCTAATATATTTATGTTACCCCCTTTATTTAAGGAGAACTTCTTGAAGACAAGTGAGGCTTTAATAGTAAATATAAAGAACCCTAGTGCCACTGGAGTTTGGTCATTAGGCTACTAACCACATGATTGGCAGTTTTGTTAGGCTGGGATGACTAGAAAAACTAATCCAGTGACACTCACATATATGTGCAGGATTTTATATCAGGATTATATATCAAGCATTCTAGCCCAGTCCAGATCAAGCCCCTTAGTCTACAGACACACACAGCCATATACAATGATGCAGAATGCAGGAATAGCACAGATCGGTGGGTGCAGTCAAGTGGATCCAATGGTGGTGGCTGCATCACAGGGCTTGCAGCAACTAGGGTCAGCCAGCAGGAAGGTGTGTGGGTCAGGGGGGAGGGGTAGTGAGGCCAGGGCGGGGTGGGGGGGGGTAGTGGTGGAGGGTCCCAGGACCCTCCTTATGAAAAGGCCACAGCCCACAAGGAGACATCATAAGACTGTGACCTGGTGGACAGGCTAAACTCAACCCCTACACTTTTATATAACGTCAAGTAGACATAAAATTATGCAACTACCACGGCAGATCAAACCCATCAGCAGCTCCGTGGGAGAAAGATTTGCAGTTTTGCAGTCCCTGAAACCCTCCCTATCCGGGGCTGCTATCAGTTGGGATTGAGTGGGTAGCAGTGGGTTTGGTTTACTGGGAGTACTAAACACATTACTAGAACTATGCAAACACATAAAAATATGTGTGCTCACCTCCATGATACGGTCGCTGAAGACAAATGGGTGCATAAGCAAATGTGGCGAAGAAAGCTGATGGTGCCCAGCTATCAAAAGGTATAGTGTCTGGGGTCTTAAAAGCTTGAAGGTAAACAAGCGGCCATCTAGCTCAGAAGCAACAAAGCCCACATGGAAGAAGTACACCAGCCTGTGCGATCACGAGGTGCCGAAAGGATCAGGTATAAGGCATCACCAGAACAAAAAATTTTACCATAGTGAATGATGGGGGGAGTGCGGAGTGGAGACCCAAGGCCCATTTGTAGGCCACTGGAGATCCCCTTGCAGAGGGGTCTCGGGGAGGAGACGAGCCAGTCAGGGTGCAATGTAGCAACTTTCCTCTAGTTCCTAAATGCTTCCTCCCCCACCCCCACTATCACGATCCGAATTCTACCTTGCAAGTCCAGCTAGACCACAGGTTGTACACTGGTATAGATAGGAACTGGAAACACAGGGAATCCAGGGCGGATGATCCCTTCAGGACACAATTGATGTATGTATGGATTGTGAAAAGAGTTGTATGAGCCCCTAATAAAACAATTAATATATATATGATAGCTATGCCAAAATCTTCATATTTAGTCTTCTATGTTTTTGTTTATTCACTGTCTCATTTGGCGTTGCAGAAAATGTCCCAGGCTGCAAAGATGCTGTTGCCAGGGGCCATCGGGTGACTTCTGACTCATAGCTACCCAAGGTGCAGCAGCAGGAAACCCCGCTGGCTGCTGTGGCATCCACACAACTATTACTATGCATGAGGCTATTGTTGCAGCCTATCACTTCACTTTGTCAAATGGCTTCCTCTTTTTCACTGCCCCTCCACTTACCAAGCCTTTACCATGCCTTTCTCCAGGAACTAGACTCTCCTGATAACATGTCCAAAACACATGAGACAAAGTCTCACCATCCTTGTTTCTAAGGAACATTCTGACTGTACTTCTTCCAAGATGGATCTATTTGTTCTCTTGGCAGTCCTTAGTACCTTCAATATTCTTGACTAGCACCTTAATTCAAATGCACTGTTTCCTTGGTCTTCCATATTCAATGTCCAACTTCCACATCCATGTGCGGCTAGTGAAAAAGACCACGGTTTGAGCCAGGAGGACCTTACTCCTCAAGACATCAGCCTTGCTTTTCAGCATTTTCAAGAGGTCTGGTGCAGCAGGTTTACCCAATGTAATGCATCCTTTGATGTCTTGGCTGCTGCTTCCATGAGCACTGATTGTGGATCCACTCAAGACAAAATCCTTGGCAATTTCAATCTTTTCTCTATCATCATGATATTACCTATTGGGCCTGTTGTGGTATTTTTGTTTTCTTTGCTTTGAATTGTAATTCATTCTGAGGACTGCAATCCTTGATCTTCATCAGTAAGGGATTCAAGTCTTCCTCACATTCAGCAAGCATCAAAGAGAGTTCTTAATTTAAGTCCTGGCCCTTCCATTGCCAGCTCAGTAGTGGTGGGTGAACAAGTCCCTTTGGCCTCATTAATTCTGCTCACTCACTGCCATCAATTGGTGCCTATTCATAGAAGCCCTACAGGACAGGGCAGCACTTTCCCTGTGAGTCTTCCTCCCAAAGAGCACCTAGTAGTTTCAAATTGCTGATCTCAGAGTTGGCAGCCCAGTGCATAACCACTGCACTCCTGATGTAAAACTAGGGTACTACCACCATACTACCATCTAGCGCAGTGGTTCTCAACCTTCCTCATGCCGCAACCCTTAATACCATTCCTCATGTTGTCATGACCTCCAACCATAACATTATTTTCGTTGCCACTTCATAACTGTTGTAAATTGGGCAACCCCTGTGAAAGGGTCATTCGACCCCTAAAGGTGTCGCAACCCACAGGTTGATAACCACTGATCTAGCACCTGTAGATGGAGGTGAAAGTATCCTCCATCAGCTACATGGTGAGCTATATGACAAGCCTGCCCATCACAAATGCTCTAGAAATGTGCATTCCCTGCTTCCCGGCAAGAACTCTTCTCCGCTATCCTTTCCAGCTTTCTTCCTATTCCGTACGGAAGCCCCTCTTACAGAAAGCATGGCATTTAGAAAGTGTGGTACTAAATTTCATTGAACTTCATTGACTGATTTCAAAGGCAACCTGCCTCTAGCTCACAGTCTCCCACCTGTGTCTTTGTTACAGCTTTTTGACACTACTGGATGTAGCAAGGCCGCTGGAGCATGCAGGCCTGGCAGAACCAAGCTGCTCTCTCCCGGAGCCTGAGCATGTGGCGCGACTGCCTTGAGCTTCAGTCAGAGCCTGCAGGTGTGCAGCCTCAGGCTCCACGCTCTTCGGCTCACTCTCAATTCAAGGCATGTGCAGCTCCACAGAGTAAAGATTTACATGTCTAAATAGAGTTCGGCCCAGACTTGTCTGGCTCATTGGCAAACCTCAATGGGTAGCTGAGGAAGAACGTTCACTTGGGAAAATGGAAAGTCACACTGAGCTTGCGGGTACAAATAGTGAAGGAAACGCTCCCTTTGTGACTCACTGGTATTTCTTAAAACAAACTGGTAAGGGGGTAGGGGGAACGATTTCTTAAAGGAGCAGTTTAATCTGCCTGTGCAATCTGCTGTGAAGGGGATACACCATTAAGTCTCAATAATGAAGTGAGGTGGGTTCCAATAGTCAGCGTGGGCATTTTACTCTCCGAGGGATCCATAAAGCCTCTGGAACTCCGTGGAAGGGATTCAATTTAAAGTCACAATAGAACAGATTGGAAGTTACTCATCCAAAAGATCTTTCAGAAGTGTTCTCAGCTGAATCTTGATTGGGTACAAGTAATTAACGTTTCCCAAGGGAAAGCATCACTTACTAGAGAATCCCCCAAGGAAGGGTGGCATATGGTAGTAAAGAGGGAGTTCCCATGGCCTGGTGCTAAGGTCTTTGGTCTCAGAATCAGCTGAGATAACCCAAGATCCTCATTCAAAATTGGATCTGCAAAGGCAGGCACACCAGACGACAATCTTCATGACTTAAATGCTAGGGACTGCTGCTTAAAGTACGCGAGGAGCTAGACTCTAAATGTACACCAGTGTCTGTCCTTAGTCCTTGGGGCTCCTGACCACCAGCCTGCTCTGCGGCCCTGCCCAGCAGCTCTGCCAAGAAGGTGCAGAAGCCACATGGCTGGATGCCCCAAGATGTCCTCACTCAATGTACTGTAAAAGCATTCTTATTTTCTTCGGGAGTAGTTCTTAAAAAGTGAATATGAAGGGTCCAGATATCCTCCCTTTCTATTTTAACTCCATGTTTCCATGCCTGGTTCTTAACACTTAAGTTAGGCAGGGCCATCTACGGAAAAGTCAACAAGGCCTCCTTTCTGGGGCGGGACAGCTTCTTTCTCCTGCTCCCTTGGCCTTGGTAGGTCCTCTTCCACGTCCATCACTAAAAACCTGCTGTACTGTACGGACAAAGGTGAGGGCAGAGAGACCGCTACTTTCCTCGAGAGTACCATGAAAAGGCACAGAACCGGGAGCAAAACCAGCAGAGGAAAAGCTAGATTTGCAGGACCATCGTGAATGTTCAATGTAGGGAATTACTAGTGCAAACTCCCTGTGGGCCCTGAACTCTTATAGATCAGGGGCACTCTGCATTAACCCCTGGCTATACCCCTCTCCTTACTCACAAAGCTTCAGCCCAGGGCGTTCAAGTCCTATATTACCATTACCGCGGTGGCCATCTTCCCAGGTGGGCCTCAGAAATTAAAAGATTTTCTTACAACGACTCACTGTAACAAAGGACTGCTCCGGGACGCTCCGGGGACCAGGCAGAACAGCAAGCCGTCTGACGACAGCACAACCACTAAGGGAACCACTGCGCCCCGGCCCCTCCATCTCGGGGCTTCCGCGCGGTTACCTGTACAGACGGCCGTTGTCTTCCAAGTCTTCCTGGCCCCATTTTCCCTTGATGTCCTCGATAACGTGGTTCTTGAGGAATTTCTTTAACAGCTGAACCGTTTGCTTGCGGGTCACCTCGGGGCCGAAGTTCTGACTGCGGCGCAGGAGCTCGTGGAGCCAGTCCACAGCCTCGGCCGCGGTGAAGCAGTGCTCATAACTTTTGAAGCGACAGCGGTGCTTCCGTAAGGGCATCCGGGCTCGGAAAAGCTCAACGGTTTCATTCCACTGGGGAGAAAGGTAAAGGGGTGCTTAGTAATCAACAGACTTTTTTCCCCTTCTTTTTTTTAAGCTATTGGAGAAGTACAACGCTGTCAATGATAGAATAATATCTAAATGTCTTACAAGGAAGACTAGTTAATACAAGTCAGTCCAAATTTGTGAAAAACATGGTTCCAGAAATTGATAGACTAATTGAGATGTTTCAATAGACAGATGGAATGTTGTAAATGCTCATTCATCTCTCCCAAAAAATCCTGAAGGCAACTACCAGCCTGACCAACTGGAAGAGACCCCTCTTTGTACCTATTCCACAGAAACATGACTCAACAGAATGCAGAAATTATCTAACAATATTATTATATCGCCCAAAAATAGAGTTCAGCTGAAAATAATTTTAAAGTGATTGGAGTAGTACATTGACTAGGAGCTGCCAGAAATTCAACGCAGATTCAGAAGAGGATGTGGAACAAGGATATCATTGCTGATGTTAGCTGAAAGCAGAAAACACCAGAAAGATGTTTACTTGTGTTCTGTTGACTATGCAAAGGTTTTGACCGTGTGGAACATAACAAACTATTGATAACATTATGAAGAATAGGAATTCCTCATGTGAAAACTGCAGATAGACCAAGAAGCAGTCTTTCAGAGTAAGGGGACACTATATGAGAGAAAGTTTGGAATTTCTATTTCCGTTACTCTCCATAGTCTCAGAAACTCACAAGGGCTATGAGTCTGCATCGACTCATACTTATTACTCTGTATGCTGAACAAATAATTTGAGAAGCTGGACTATAGAAAGAAAAATATATCATCAGGATTGGAAAACTATTCGTTTAAAATCTGCAATATGCATATGGCACCAACTTGCTTGCTGAAAGAAGAATGCAAGCATGATCTAAGGAAGGGCAAAGAATATAGCCTTCAGTATGCTGTGTGCAAAGTCCAAGTCCAACAAAACTCCCTGTCATTGAGTTGATTCTGACTCACTACCACCTTAGAGAGCAGGGAAAGACTGAACTTGGGGGATTCTGAGAGTGCAGCTCTTTATGGGAGTAGAATGCCTCCTCATTCTCCGGAGGAGAAGATGGATCAAATTGTATGGGATTGGTGTTTCAAACTGCTGACCTGGGATTAAGCAGTCCAACAAGTAACCACTCTCCCACCAGGACTCCTGACAGCTCAATGAAGAACAGCATAAATCCTCGCAATTAGACCAACAGACAACACCACAATAAATGGAGAAAAGATTGAAGTTGTCAAGGACTTTATCTTTCTTGTATCCACAATTAATGCTAATAGAAGCTATGGTCGAGAAATTAAACAACGTATTGCTTACAAAAAATCTGCTGGCCAAAATCTCTTTAAAGAGTTAAAGAGCAAAGCTATCACTTTGAGGACTAATGTGTGCCTGACCCAAGTTATACTGTTTTCAAGCACATCATATGAAAGATGGATAATGAAAGAAAGAGCAGAGAAGAATGGACGTATTTGAATTTTGGTACTGGCAAAGAATATTGGAGGTACTATGGACTGCCAAAAGAACAAACAAACTTGTCTTAGAAAAAGTGCAGCCAGAAGGCTTCTCAGAAAGGAGGATGGGACTTCGAGCAAGATGGTGACTAAATGACACACCCAGAGGGACTCCGCAGAAATAAACACAGGAGAATTACTGCGAGGGAAATTCCACACTGCCAGATCACAGGAGGAGCATCATAAAGATAAGTAGGCGCGGATCCACTAAGTTTTGAGGGGCTGTGGGCTTTTGGCTTCCCACAGTGGAGGCTGGCTAAGGCTTAACTTTAGCACCGCCACAGTCTCAACCAGAACCGACTCCTCCAGTTAGTCCAAGGGCTTTATCTCAACACAGCTTTAAACCCCTCCAGCCCTACAGTCAAGGCAGCTATATCATTACTTTTGTTTTTCTCTCCTCTCTTTCCCCCCACACACCAGAAGGCTCAGTTGGGTTGGTTTTTGTTTTTTCTGGGTTTTTTTTTTTTAGGGCTCACTGACGTTTATTTTGTAAACAAAACCACTGGGGATGTTGCCTGTTGACACCTCGGGATGACACTGGGACACTTGGTGGGAAGCTCGTGAGAAGGGCAAGGAGTTGGGATGTCACAGGATCACAAAGCTGGGGTTTCCAACAGGTGTCCAGATGGTCTGGCTTGGCTGCAGGGACAGCTCCAATGAAGCGGTGAGAACACCGACAGGCTCGGGGGAGGGACGACCAGAGGTCTGCCAGCCCAGCTTATTTGGTGAGGGGATTTCTGAACTTTTGGCCAGCGAACTTGGCCTTGCTGCCGAGCTCCTCTTCAATTCTGAGGATCTGGTTGTACTTGGCCAGGCGCTAAGATCGGCATGGCGCACCAGTCTTGATCTGTCCAGTGCAGAGTCCCACCACCAGGTCAGCAATGAAAGTATCCTCGGTCTCCCCAGAACAATGAGACACCATGACGCCCCACCCATTGGACTGGGCCAGCTTGCACGCCTGCAGAGATTCGGTCACGGAGCCGATCTGGTTCACTTTGAGCAGGAGGCAGCTGCACGACTTCTCGCCCAC